GGACTTTTGGATTAGAATTTCGAAGATTAGCAGATGGATTACCTGTAAACAGGTAAGCAATTCCTTTTTCTTTAAAAATTTGGAAAAAACTGAGTTTCAATATTGTGATTAGTCAATTTTAAACATGGAAACTTTAGACAAACTGAAGCAGAAACGTACGAATGAACACAGTAGCGTTACGAAATTAATTAGAAAAATAGTCTTTATTATCAGAAAATATCGAAAACACAAACATTGAGGAATTGCAGGAGATGAATGAAACTATTCTCGAAAGAGAAAGCACGTTGAAAATGTTGAATTCACAAATCGAAACTCAGTTAAAAGATGCTAAAGAATTTGAAAAGGATATTACTGCAAGTGATAAATACAATGAACAAATTATGTCTGCAAAGTTTAGAATTAAAATAAGATTAAATAAATGTAATGAAATTTGTCTGTGAAAAATGCATCAGATGCAAATTCTTTGAACACTTCTGTTTCTGAAATAAATGTATCGTCATCAGCTATGAAATTGCCAAAGTTAAATATTCCAAAATTCTCAGGAGATGCAGGAAAATGGTTAGAATTTTTTAACAGTTTTCAAGCTGCGATTGATCAGAACAAAGCGTTAACCAACATTGAAAAATTCGTATACTTGAAATCATTATTGATAGGGCAAGCATATAATGTCATTGAAGGATTTCAGTTAACCCAACACAATTACGATTCGTGCTTAGAACTTTTAAAAGAACGCTTTGGAAAACCAGAGAAAATTATAAAATCACATATGAATAATCTTTTGGACATAGAACCAGTTAAAAATTTCTTCTAACTTAAATGCACTAAGAAGATTACACGACGCTTGTGAAAGAAACATTCGAAGCTTAAGTAATTTAGGAGTAACTTCAGGTTCGTACGGACACTTGTTAAATCCGATATTATTGAAATTATTGCCTCATGATTTGATTCTCGAATATCACCGAAAGCGTGATCCAAAAGAGGAATCTGATGTTACAGGTTTAATTGCTTTTTTGAAAAACGAAATTGAATGCCGCGAACAAACGTACGCAGTTAACAAACCGGAACCGTAATTCGTTCCATTGAACGGAAAGAATAAACACTTCGACAAACACAAAAGTAATTATAAATACACAAACAATAAGTTTAACTCTAAAGTTAACCCCTCGTCGGCGGCAGAATTATTAGCCCCTGTAAAAGGAAGAAAATTGTATTTTTTGCAAAAATAACACACATAATAGTGAAAAGTGTAATATGAGTGTAAATGGAAAAACGAAATATACTGCGATTACAAGCTCGATGTTATGTTTGTCTTGCTCAAGGTCATCGATTTTCTGATTGTTCTGAGAAGAACTTTTGTGTATACTGCCACAAAAAACATAATGCAACCCTTTGTTACAAAAATGAGAAAAAACCCGAAGCATCGCAATCAAAAGGAGTAGAAAATTCAGCGTGCAATCACATTAGCATCGGTAGGAATAAAATATTTTTACAGACGGCGACAGTAGAACTTAAAAGTAGGTCACGCAATAAATTAGTTCGTTGTTTATTTGACAGCGCTAGTCAACGCTCGTATATTCCAGAAACGTCTGTCTAAAACAACTGGGATTAAAAGTCGTGGGAAGGGAAGAAATAATGATTCATACTTTCGGATCTCAAGTGCCTACCAAACAGAACTGTGCGCGAGTAGAAGTAAAAATAAAAAACACTTTTCGATAACCAGGAATTAATTATTCAGGTTTTAGAGACTGATGAAAATATCGAAGTGCTGAGCTAGACTATCCTCCGCCAAAATATTAAGGAGTTGTTAAAAGATAGGACTTTAACTAGGAATAATTTTAGCGGATATTGATCACGAATCTTTAGATAACAACAAAGTATCTTTACTCATTGGAGCTGATAAAATTAGTAATAGATAATAAATTAAAATTAAATTAAAAATTAGTAAAAGAGAAATTAGTAAAAGATAAAATTGAACGTTTGAACTCAACATTAGTTACAATGGAAACCAAAATGGGTTGGATTTTATATAAAACTATATGATCGTATTGAAGATGGGGGAAAATGTAACTAATACCATCGCAGTGACTTCTTTATTAATTCACACATCGAAGATTGAAAATTTGTGGAAATTAGATTTATTGGGAATTCAAGACCCTGTTGAAACAAAATGTAGAAAGGAAATGGAAATTGCCGCATTGAATCATTTTAACGAAACTGTTACCTTTAAAGAGGGAAGATATGAGGTTCAGTTGCCTTGGGTAACAGAAAAGGACTGTTTAAGTCAAAATTTGGATATTGCCAAACAGCGTTTAAACAGTACGACACACCGGTTGATACAGAAGGGCAAATTCCAGGATTACGAAAATGTTTTCACAGATTGGTTAAATGAAGGAATTATAGAGGAAGTTCCTGAACACGAAATGAATAATTTGTATCACTATTTACCACAAGAAACTTCGACCACGAAATTGCGACTGGTATTTGATGCTTCCTGTAAAGACAAAAATTCGCGCTCACTCAATGATTGCCTAGAAAAGGGTCCAAATTTGATGGAACAAATTATTCCTATAATTTTAAGATTTCGCAAAAATAGAATAGGAGTTATTTCAGACATAAGAAAGACTTTTTTGCAAATGTCAGTGAATAAGAGTGATCGAGATTTCTTACGATTTTTATGGTGGAAAGACTTTGACAAGAAGGAACTTAGAGTTTTTAGACATAAACGCGTTGTTTTTGGATTGAATTGCAGTCCCTTTTTACTGGCTGCTGTATTAAGCCATCACATTGATCTAAAATCGTCTAAATACCCTGAAACAGCGGAAAATTTAAAAGAATCATTCTACGTAGATAATTGCATTACATCAGTTCCTGATGAAGAGACACTTACGCGATTCATCGAGGAATCGAAACAGATATTAGATTCTGCGTCATTCGATTTGAGAGAGTGGGAGCACACTTCTCTTTCGAAATCTGAAGACAGTATAGAACCTACTCCTGTATTGGGAATTTTGTGGGATAAGGAAGATGATAGCCTTTTCTGTGAGGTGAAGACTGATACTTACAAACCAGTGAATCTTACTAGAAGAAATATATTGTCTGCGGTACATCGCATTTTCGACCCCATGGGTTTTCTCTGCCCTATAACGCTAACACCTAAACTACTCATACAAAAGACATGGTTGTTAAAAATTGGTTGGGATACAAATATACCCGAAGACTTAGGAAACGAGTTCTATTCGTGGATTGATGATTTGTCACTTTTATCCAGTATTAGAATTCCAAGGGCTTTAAGATATAAATGGAAATGAAAGTCTTAGTCTTCATACGTTCTGTGACGCAAGTAAAACAAGCCTATGGATGTGTGATTTATTTAAGAAAGGAAACAAGTGAAAAATGTATCGGTGTATTTTCTTCTAGCTAAAAGTAGAGTGAGTCTATTAAGAAAAATGACCATAAATAGTCTAGAATTATTATCCTGCTGTATAGGAGTCAGACTCGCAGCTCTTGCTTTACAAACACTCAAATTAGACAACGTTCCAAGGACCTATTGGACAGATTAGAGTACTGCTCTTTCTTGGATCCAAAGAGATGACCATTGGAAGCCATTTGTCGCAAATAGAGTAAAAGAGGTACGAAAATTGTCATCGGAATCTGAATGGCGTCACATTTCAGGAAATTCGAATCCAGCAGATATACCATCACGAGGGTGTTCGATTAAGAGTTTTGTGAAATCTCGCTGGTTGCAAGGGCCAGAATGGCTTATGAAAAACTAGGAAGAGTGGCCAACTAGTGGAGTGATTACTAACGAAGAAGAAATTATGAAAGAAAAGCGAAAGAACATTATTTCGACTTTGGCTAATATCACCGCTGAAAAATGGTATCTGATTTACTTTTCAAGTTACTTTAAAATTGTGAGAATGATTTCTTGGATTCTAAGATTCATAAATAATTGTAGACATGGAGGAAGAAATTATGGCAAAACCCTGAGTGTTGAAGAATTGGACATTGCTGAGAAGAAATTTGTGAAGATCGTTCAACAAGAAGCATTCTCTAGTGAAGAACAGTTGAAGGGACATTTTACTTTCAGAGATGAAGAAGGGATTATAAGGTTGAAAACGAAGATTTTGAGAAGACATGATGATGAAAACTTCCGGTGCCCCATTGTACTTCCATCCAAACATGAATTAATAGAAAGAATGATACAAAACTACCATTTACAACTTTTACATGCTGGTACTCAAGTTCTTTTGACTAATATTCGTCAAAAATTTTGGATAATAAAAGGAAGAAAAACAGTACTAGGAGTCATATCGAAGTGCGTTCGGTGCAAAAGACACTCGGCGAAAGCTCTTGATACAGCTCCTTGTCCTCTCCCAGAAGATCGAGTCAGAGATGCTTATGCATTTGAGGTGACAGATGTTGATGTAGCAGGACCACTTTATTTAAAAGAAAATAGAAAAGCTTACAGTATGCTTTTTACTTGTGGAGTTTATCGTGCGGTTCATTTAGAAGTAATTGAAAGCTTATCGACTAATGGATTTTTTTCTCGGATTTAGGAGATTCATAGCACGAAGAGGACGGCCTAGAGTAGTATACAGCGATAATGGCACAAATTTTGTAGGGGCAAGGAATTTGCTCCGATCTGTTGACTGGAACCAAATTATCAGAAGTTCTTCGATAATGAAAATTCAGTGGAAGTTAAATCCCCCAACCGCAGCATGGTGGGGCGGCTGGTGGGAGAGACTGGTTCAGATGATCAAGAAATTATTGAGAAGAGTCCTGGGAAAAGCATTACTTTCATATGAAGAAATGTTAACTATCCTATGTGATACAGAAACAAATATCAACTCCAGACCATTAACATACGAGTCAGAAGATTCCACCGATTTATGTGCACTCACTCCATCTATGTTTATTCAGGATGTGCGAACTGAAGGTGTTCCGGATCTGGACAGTTTGGATAAAATCAACTTATCGAAAAGATGGCGATATCACCAAAAGTTACGTGTGGAATTTCGTAAAAGATTTAGAGATGAATATCTTGGTATGTTAGTACATCGACCAAAGACTGTACCTTCGCGAACCATCAAGAAAGGTGATTTAGTGTTTTGTAGAGGACGATAAAAGGAAAAGAACAGACTGGCCTATGGGTCGTGTGATCGAAACATACCCAGGAAAAGACAACAACATCAGAGTGGTGAAAGTAAAAACTTCTAGTGGTGAACTGTTAAGACCAGTTCAAAGAGTATTTCCAATGGAGATAGACAATAAAGAATCTATCTTCGAGCTTAAAACTACTGAATCATCCACATCTTCAAGAAATACTGGTAAAAGGAATGATTTAGTAATTGATACCAAAAACTGTGAACTTGAAAATTCTGATAAAAACATTCAGTTTAGTAGATATGGCAGAAAAATTGTGAAACCAAAGAACTTGATTAATTTAGTTTAATTTTGTTTTCCTTACCACTATTATTTGTTTTCTTTGTTCCTTTCTTTGAATTTAAATTTTGTCTACAATTTGATTTTCCAGTTTAGTGAATTAATCTCTTTGCTAGTATTTTTCAGAAAAGAATTTTTTGCCTGTTGTTTTAAGAATGTAAGTTTGCAGAATATTAAGTAAGTTTAAAATATTCAAAATATTTGTTACGCCTAAATGAAATTGTTGATTTTGCTAAGATTAATTACTCATCTTATATTCGTATTTCAATTTTCATTTCACAATTGTTTTGATTTTTTCATACTTTGTCAAAAATCAAAAGGTGGGAGAAATGTTACAACTCGAACGCGAAATGAGCGAAAGTTTCTCTTCTGCCAGTGGCAACGAGGAGTCGAAAAACGAACTTGGAAGAGAGCGGTCGCTCACTCTGTTTCTCTTGATAGAATTTGACACGAAGGGGGATAATCCCCATCTTTTGATTTGAAATTAATCTCGAATTATGTATATATTGTAATATAAAAGATGTGTGTAAATAAAAGTCATTAAGACTTAATTGAAGTAGTGATTTGAATCGAATATAGAAATCGAAAGCTCTCCCAAATAGAACTATGGATTTTAGAAAGGACAGAAAGTGTAAAACCTATATGTCGATTATTAATAAAGTTTCCATTCTGTTTTGAGAAAAAGATGCGGTTTGCTGAAAGTTATACTTTTGCTACGCATGGAATAAACATTAGCTGTTTCGTTGATTTTATTCTGAACCCGTAATAAAAGTTTCTATTTTTCATATGAAGTAAAACGTTTATCAGTATTCATCAAAAGTCGTATTTCATTAATGTTTCTCGTCTGACGTATATTTATTCATATATTCTCTTTTCTTTCAGCTTTAATGATTTTTACCTCAAATTTTTCTTTTCCAAAATTACTGTATTTCCCTTCTGGCATATTTTTCATTGGAGGTAGAAATACGCCTTTCCTACCTCCATCTTATTTTTGCCCCTAGCGTTTTAGCACAAACTCTGAAAAGTTTCCAGATATTCGCGCAATTTCTTCCTTACATAAGTTTTCCATAAAGCGTTTTCCTAAATTTTAAAGTGAATCTGTTCACGTAGATGTCGTTTTCAGCTTACTAACCGATCTCCTCCTTCATTTTGGGTGCATGGGCTCTGTCTGATTAAGCAATAATAGTGAAGAGCTTCAAGAAAACAGGCAGACTTTTATTGGTTATGAAGATCATTGCACGTAATAAGACAGACTGGATGGTGACAAAGACAGTGGCAAAGGTGACGATGGCGAAGGCTTACAAGCTATAGCAAGACAACACAAACAGCAGTTCAAATGCCTTAAATGATTTTAGGCTTAGAAAGTAGCAGTGGACAACTACAAGTGTTGGCGAGATTTAAGATATTCGTTATTATAATGTCTATGTACTCTTACTAGAAGGTAAGTTTCTTTTAAATAAACAATAATGTGACAGTAATCGAAAGTTCCTCCATAAATATTTTTCATTTATTATATTCTTTATGTAACTGCCTCCTTTAAAATCAAATTATTAGCATAATTTTCACTTCTCGATTTTCGTATGATAAAGTTCGCTAAAAAGGGGGGTAGGAAAATGTGCGAATAGATACTGCACATACTGCTACATTCATATAGCATCGATTTATTGTTCATGAGAGCTTAAAGAGAATGCATCTGTTTTTCCCTGCACAAACATAAAAGTTCTTACCTTTCTTACAGTATCATTTCAATGAACAGAACTGAATGAGCTGGTTGCATGATGTTTTAATCTCTTCACTATTAAGTCATCTAGAAATTCTTAAAAAAATAAAAATTCTAAATTTAACGCATTTTAAAGCATGTGCTGCACTCTTGAAGCAGAATAAACGGGCTGTTTGAACTGATATACAGTATTAAAGAAGGTTTAATAAAATGATTTATTTCGAAAATATTAGGTAAGTACTGAGTTTACGTAATGTCTTTCTATATCAATTGGTTTTAGAATCTTTAAATATACTAAACAGCAGAAAGATATCATGTTTCTGTGGGATTTATTTTTAAAAATTATTGAATGCAAATCTAATAATGATTCTTCTATACTTAACGTCATTTTTAAGGAATATTGTTTTTAAGTATGTTGCAGAATGTTACTTTTTCATGAAAATCGTCCTTTTATATATGCATTTTTTTAAACATGCTTCTTATTTACTGTATATATAACTATATTTTATTCATATACTATTTCAGTTTTAAGTTATGCTCTTTTGATTTTATTCTGACAAAGTGAACGCAATTACAAACGGTAAAGAATTTCAAGCGTTCATTTCTGAGCCACATTTTGAAAACTGGCACTTATGTAAAAATATTTTAGTTGTTTTCTTTATTCTAATGATATGCTTAATTAAAAATTAACAGAAGTCTTAACCGATTGATCATTATATTCTAATAATTAATTTGTAAGGATTATGTTAATTTTATTAACAGTTAAATTTTGAGTTAAAGTTCATTTCCTGTCAAATTCTTAACTTCAACTTATTACTTCCGGCCAGAACGTAGTTTTGGAATCTTTCTGAATATTTAATGAGGAGGAGGGGGTATTTAAACCGCGGAGTTACTTACAGAGTGAGAGAGAATCAGAGTTTCTGATCTACGCGCGTCTGCCTTTTGGTCACTCTCTCAAAGCTGTTATTACGCTCGGCCGTACTCAGGGCCTTGATAAGCTTCGTAGTCAAATAAAGTTAAGGGGCCAACTCGATTTGAATCTTGATAGCTTCGGCTATATTTCTATAGTTAATCTTAGTTTTAGTTTAATTTTTAGTCTCTTAAGTTCAAGCCTAAATGTCGGCTTTGATGGTACACTCCAAGACGGAGTTTTGTTAAATCTTATTGGGATAATAAAGGGTTAGTTACCTTTCCATCTTGTTGTTTCTTGTCAAACGAACTTAAGCGCTCATTCGCTAACTAGTTCTTAAGATTCGTCACTTTCTACGGTAACTGAGAATTACACTAGTGAAAATCTTACAAACTGATACAGAACAGAAATCTATATCCGTAGTTTGTAAAACTTTATGAACTCTAAGCTTAATAAAAATGAGTCAAATGCAAATTTAATTAAATTTTGTTACAAACCTTAATTAGATATTTAAAAAAAAGTTTTTGGAGTGACCCTAAATTTACAAAATATTTATTTTATTTTAATGAATTAATTTATTCATTTTCTTCTGCTTCTCTTAATAAATCAGAACAGAAAGCCTCTGCCTGTATTTTGTAAAACTATGAACTCTAAGGTTAATAAAAATGAGTCAAATGCAAATTAAATTAAATTTTGTTACTAACCTTACTTAGATATTTGAAAATTTGTGTTTTTGAATGAACTTAAATTTACTAAACCTTTATTTTATTTTATGAATTTATTTAATTTATTCATTTTCTTAAATTTTTTCTGTTTCTCTTAGTAAATCCAAATAGCAGAACATTCAACTTTTGATAAGTATCAATGCACTATGAACAAACATATAGAAGTTATTATTCTAAGCTACTGTAAGCTGCTTTTGTTGCCGTCAAACAGTTGTAAAATATCCTGTCAGAGATGCTTCGGCATCTTAAAAGTTTCAGTGATAAATGAAAAAATATTATACTAAATGTCCTACATTAAGAAAAAAGAAAAATGTTTCTGTACTTCCAGAGCTATAAATGAAGTACTAGTTGATAAAGACGAATTCTTTCTTCAAATACCTTTAAGTTAATTAGATGATATTTATTTAGACGCTAGAATAACTACTTGACAGTATTCATTATGTCACCTGAGTACTATTAAAGACAATTCTTACAATGCATCATTAATAAAATTCTTCTTTTCTACAGCATTTGTAAAATTTACCTCAAGCGAGTCAAAAATAAATTTTTACATTATCAAAGCACGTACATTCGTATGTTCGATAATTAAATACAATAAAAACTGTTATTCTGTTATTCTTGATATATGCATTTTAACAATAACGTATATGGAGTTCCCAATGTAATCTCGATTTTTGGCTTTTTCCATCTCAATTTTCAGTTCGAAGAACATATTTTTTGAAAGATGAAGTTAGAAAGGTCGCTGAAGCATAAAAAACT